AAAAGGGTTTTTGGTCAATTTCAAGACAAAGAAAATGGGGGCTGTTTGTTTGTTTTTCAAATTATTGTCTTTTTGTCAATTTTTATTTTCATTTTGCTGATTAAGAAAAGGGAATTTCCATGTGATTAAGTGCTGTGGGTTTAGCTAAAAATGGAAAACTTTTATTGCAAAATGTCTTCTATTTCTCTCTCCTTTCACAACATGCTATTTTTTTTTATTATTCCCACCAGCTGTAATAACAACACATATATATATTTTTTAAATAATAAATTTATTACACAATTTCCTGAAAATAATTTTTTAAAATATATATATATATATATATATTTCTCTCCTTTTTTTAATTTTTATGTGCATGTGCATATGGATGTAATGCATGTTATTTCACATGCATGCATATATAACATTATGTATGATTCCCAAATATACATAAGATTTACGTAGATCCCATTTAATAATAATTAATTTTTTCTTTCTTTTCTCTCCTTCTATGGATTAACTTTTCCTTAGAACAAATTTATTTATTTTGTTTTTTTTTTGGAAAAAAGGGTTTTGAAAATCCTGTTAAAATCAACAATAATAAAAGTTTCTAGAAAGTACTTTGTGTTTTAAAATTAAAACGTTTTTTTAGTAAACAACCTCAAATCTTCTTAACAAATATATATATATATATATATATATATATGAAAATAATTATCTCGTATAGTAATTTTTTTTTAACACAAAGTAAAAAACTTAAATATATGTTTAAATCCAAAACCCAAAAAAAAATGACAGCAAGAGAGAATAAATCAAGAAAAATATTAAATATAACAAGAAGAACGACTTAAACATTTCCAAAGAAAAACATAAATTTGAGTAAAAAAAGAAAAGAAATTAGATATATTTCCCATGCAAAATCATCTCTTTTCTCTCAAAAATTTCCCCTTTTTTTCCAAGAACGTGATGAATTTAAAAGAAAAAAAAAACGAATCAAAACGTGGGGAAAAAAAAGAATACAAAATATATATATAAATTAGGGAGAAATTTAGAAAATTTGGTGGCCATGAATTCTGAAAACAAACGTGTTGAAAATCTATTTCGTGGCCATGAAAGCTCCAAAGAGTTCTCTCTCTCTCCTACGAAACCTTTAAAAAGAGAGACTCCAAAAATCACTGTCCAAAGCTCCGGCCACCGGAAAAAGCAAAAAAAAAACTCGCCGTCTTTTTTCCGACGATGAGAATTATTCGTTCATTGTTCTGTTTTTCTCATTATGATCTAACAAGAAGGAAAAAAAGAAAAACTCACTTGTTTCCCCATTTGGCATGCAGCTCCATGATCAGAAGCTGTTCCTCCGGCGTGATGTTGCCTCGCCGGACATCGGGACGGAGGTAATTCAACCACCGGAGGCGACAACTCTTCCCGGTACGTTTCAGACCTACCCGCGTAAGGTTTCGAGAGAAAAAAGAGAAAATCATCAAAATTAAAACAAACGAAAATTATTCAATATATTTGTCGCTCTACAAGATTCATAATCTACACGTCCTTGATAAACCTTCTATATAAATTCAAAATAGAGTGTTATTATATTCTGCCTCGGACAATGTAGAATCTTCGGCCAGCCCTGATTGAGAATTAGGGTTTTCGAGAGAGCGAGAGAAGAATTATTACCAGCAGCTTTAGCAAGTGAGTTCCAAACACCTTCTCCATGGTTGGCTATGTAGTTGATGAGAATCAAATCTTCTTCCATAGTCCATGGCCCTTTCCTCACCTCCACATCTTGTGGTGAGTTGCATGGTGTTTTATCCATTTTCTTTTCTTTTCTTTTTCTTTCTATGATCTCTCGAGGAGAGAAAAGAGAGAAGAGAAGAGAAGAGAGAGGGAGAAAAATGGAAGAGAGGAGAGAGAGAGATGGAAGAGAGAGAGAGGTGGAGAGTTAATAAGATAATGGCGGTAGCTAGGGTTTTATAGAGATGCCAAACAAGATTAAAATGGTTGTTAGTAATATTTGAGCTTTATAAGTAACTATATATGAGCTACCATGCATTTGTACTTCTCTCTCTTATATTTATAATATAATAATGATGTAATATATATATATATATATATATATATTGGAAATAATGTAGACAATGTCCTTTGAACAACATTTTAAATATCGATGTAAATGAAAATGTTGAGGTCTCAAGGAAAATATGGATGAAATGAAGGTGTGGGTGAAGATGGTTGGTGGATATTATTTCTGTAAAATTATATACATAAAAAATTTATAATAAATATTTAAATTAGCAAATAAGCATTTCAGTCTTTTTTTAATAAGTTAAAAGTTATTAATATTAATATTATGTCCCTATTATAGTGAAAAATTAGTTGATGTTTTTTATATTTTATAAACTTTTTTGTGGTTGTAGAGATATCGATACATTCTCTCGTATCGTTAATGTCAAATCCATGAATATATAAATATATCGATAGAAATGTCACCATGTCGACGAAATTTAATACTCTAGTTATGAGACTGAAATATCCATATACTATATGACTTATAAATAAGGGACAACACACGTTTTGTTAACATGTGCTTAGGTGAAATGAAAAGTAACCACATGCGAACTAAGTTCAGAGTAGATAATAGCATACCATTACTTGAACGTTTGAAATTTTCTTAAAAGATAAGTAAAAAATATATATATATAGTAAAAAAAATTATATATATATATATATATATATATAATTGGATTACAATAGTCCGAGGAACTAAATAGCTAAATTTTTCTCAATGGTAATTAATTTGCAGAAATTTTGTATTTTAAAATAGTATATTATCAAATGACTTTTCTTTTTCTTTTTGTGGTCAATTATATATTAGTTTGTATGGTTATCAAAAAAAATAAAATTTATTGGTTTGTATGAAAGTTTTGAAGCTTAAATGGGTATGTTAAGAAGTATATATTCTTGTTTTACTGATTACAATATTAAATTTGAGAAATTACAATATTACCCGAGATATTTTGAACGTAAATTATCGAAGATATTTTATGAGCATTAGCTATTTTTTGTATGGATGTGCACGTGTGAACATGATAACACACGTGTGGGATGGAGAAATTAGGGTTTAATTCACATGCATTGATTTTCATGTGAAATAGGCATAGGAATTATAATAATAATTGAATTCTTCTACGCTATCTTAAAAAATAAATTAATTAATTAATTAAAAAAATTCTGCATTTTCCTTTCTCTTATTACATTATTTTAATTTTGAAGAGAAAAGAAAACTTAAATTCATAACTCCAAATGATGAGTACTTAGGTTATTTAATTACCATTTTCTTGTATATTTATGAAAATTAAAGACTCGAAAATTTCTAAAAATATTACTATTTAGATTAAGATATTTTCGATTTTAGAAAATATAATATCATATACTAAGAAGAGAAGAATATGTCTAGAACATTTAATTTTTAGAAAAATTATACTAGCTCAATTAGAAGCATACATGCATTAATGTGACGTTAGGTGTTAATCGTACATTTTTAAATTACATTATAATATGTATGATATCAATTTTTTCTCAATAAAAATAATTATCATATGATGAATATATATATATATATATATATTTATTTATTTATTTATTATAAAATGTCAGGTAAAAGATCTAACCCACAACCTCTAGATTGAAGATATATATATGTCAATTACTGTTGAGTTATGTTCATTTTGACATTAATTGTATATATTTATTACTGGTTATGTATAGTAATTAATCAAATTAAGATAAAAGCTAGGCTTGTAAGCATAAAAGGGTATTTCCGTAATTATATTATATCTTATTCATATTTTTTATATATTTATACTTTCAAATAAACAATATCAAAGAAATTTTATCAATGAAATGTTATTTCCAATTCTGTTTTTTGTTATTCTTATATCCACTGAATAAATGGAGTCCAATATGTGGGGTTAAAAGGAAAGTGTAAATAAAGATATTAAAGGCCCTCTTCTGCCAAAAAAAAAAAAAGGAAGAAAAATGCAGGTTCTACTCCAATTATAGAATTATTAACAGTTTAAATAGTCACATTTTGTACTCTCAATTGAAAATAATATGTGCTAATTAAGTGAGCTTTTAAATTTTAAATAACTAAAAAAACGACTTAGATAATATTCAAATTGACAAACACATTATCTATTGTTTTGAATAGAAATTAAAAAAGAGATTTTTTTAACAGCTTTTTAGATGATATATTGGATATATCATGAAAATGATGTCACATTGATGATGATATATGTTCACCGTTCTTTTATTGTTATTGTTTTTTACCTTTTATTTTAAAAAATATGTTTATATTTACTTTTAAGTCCCTCATCTTTTACTTATTCTAGCTTAGTTATGAACTTTCAAAATCGTAATTTTGGTCCTTACTTTTCATTATTCATTTTAATACAAAACTTTTACATTTTTCAATTTTCATCTTGTAATTAACTCTATATTTTTAATACCTAAGTAGAACCAAGGTTTTAACGTTGATGTTGATGGATATTTATGAGAATTTTATAAAATAAAAAATTTCAATAAATATTTAAATCAACAAATAAACATTTCAGCCTTTTTAATATGTTTAAAATTATTAATACTAAGATTATATCCATACAAGTAATATTTTGTCAATATTTTTTATATTTTGTCAATTTTTATGCAAATATCAATTCACCTCTCATATCGATGTCAAATCTATAGACATATCGAAATATCAAAAGGATAATATGCTAAAAATGAGTCTGTTGAAGGTTCATAATTGAAATTATAAAAGTTTGCCGACAAAACTGAAAAATTGATCAACGACAAGGGACCAAATCAAGATTTCTAAAAACAATTACATAAATTCTCATTGCTCAATTTACTAAACAACATTTGACCAAATAAAACATATTTACAATTATATGAATTAAAAAATGTCAAAGTAAAAAAAAATATAATATCCATAATTACTGAGATATATTCCATAATTACCCATCATATGCTACTAAAAAAAGAAAACAAAAATCTTTGGACAATAAAAGGATTTTTTTTTTTTTTGCAATAAGGTACAGTTTATGGTACAATGGTCTCTAGTCAATTTTTGAGAGTGAAATGGACAACACGCAAGCAATGTGAGGAGGGGGAATCCAAAAGCAATTAGAGCTTCATTCTCCCTTTTCTTTTTCATTAATTCATCCAATAATTTTCGAAAGCTTTATTCTAAAGTTAAATTACAAATTTAGCTCGTTAACGTTTAAGTTTGTGCCTAATAGATCTTTGAACTTAATATATATATATATATATATATATATATATATATATATATATATATATATATAATTGGTGTCTGATACATCCTTAAATTATAAAAAATGTCTAACACATTTCTAAATTTTTAATTTTGTATTTAATAGGTCGTGAAATTTTTAGTTATGTATCTAACAGGTCATTAACTTGATTGATATATTTAAAAATTCATAGTTTTGTTGGATACAAAATTGAAAGTTTAGAATCCTATTCGATACAAATTTCAATTTTGCCTGGTAGATCTGTTCATTTTTTTTTTTTCAAATATATGTCAGTGACCTATTGATACAAAGATCTATTAGATACAAACTTAAACTTCAAGAGAATGAGAATCAAGGAATGGATATCAAAATTTTCATTCCATTTGATGACGTTATTACATTGTAGGAATAGAATCAATTAGTGAAACTGGTAATCATACTTTGTAAGCATTGTAATCTCATTCATTTCATACAACCTCATCAATCTCATTAACATTTTTCAATTTTTAATATTTCTCTAATTATTTCTCTCTCATCTAGAGACCATAACTTTTTAATGGATTGTTTTACACTTTTATTATTTCTTTTTTATTTATACTATTAATAATAAATTTATAAACTGTTATTAGTTGATGTAATTTTTTTTATAAAATATTACAATTTTCTATTTCTATTTTAAATTGTTCAATTTTACTTTGTTATTATTAATTAATATCAATAAAATTTTTAAAACAAACTTCATTATTATTAAATATTAGAACAATAAAACTTCATAATATTTTATATTAAAGGATCGTTGTTCCAATCAAAAGTTATTTTAGTTGATGTAATTTATTTTAATTATTTATTGTTTGTTAATATTAAATAAATTGTTATAATTAAAAAATTATTTAGTATCAATATAATAAGCTAAAATTTATCATTATTTTAATTAAAAAATATTAGTACAATAATGCATTTGTAATTAGCTATAAATAAAAAGGGTTATATTATATAAATTCTCATCTTGATTGATTTCATTACAATTCATTCTCATTCGAATTTCTTGAATTTGTAATTTAACCTTAGGATAATGAATCTCATATGATATCATCCATTTTGGACCCATAAATTCTCATATCGATACAAATATTTTCTTTACTTATACACCAAAAAGTATCTTTGAAAATGGGAAATTCCAAAAGCAAAAAAGACACTAATTTTCCAATTTTATAGGCTCGTTCTCTCTCTCTCTTTTTCATGCCTCTATTATTTTCAAAAGCTACGGTTAGAACAACGATTCTCTCTACATCCAACCAAATATCTTTCTCAAATCCAACCAATGTAGGACTATGTTTGCATTCGTCAGTATACCGCTCAAGGATAAGGTGTGGGAAAATAAAAACAAAATCCAAGAAATTGAAGACCACAAAAATTGAATTAGGTTTGAGGGGTTAAGTGATAAGAAATGAAATGAGAAATCCAAATGCAAGAAGAGGAAAGGCATGATGTTGGGTTTGGACTAAAATACTAATGAATCTAAATTAAAAGACAAATTCCTAACTAGTTTAAATCCAAGCAAGTATTAGCCACTCATTTATTGAGTTGAAATACTAATTAAACAAAAAAAAAGAGTATTTTTTTTCTTTTCTTTTCTTCTTTTCCTTAATTTCTTCAACTATATTACAAAATTGTTAATCACTTAAGGGAAAGCTAAGTGGAAAAAATACTTGTTATAGAAGTTGAAGAAAAAGGGAGAGAAGTAAACCATGTTGGGACCATTGCTTATGATGAATTGCACACCCCATGGCACCACAAGTACATACCAAACTCTCTCTCTTTTGAAAGGGTTATTTGATTTTTATTTTTAAATCTGAGTGGGCCTCAACTTTTATACTGATTCCAATCGTTTTATTCAAATTCGACCATTAGTTAATAACAACACCCACATACGTCTAGATACCTGACACCAAACGGGCAAAATTTCCCTGCCTCCATGGGGATGGAGATGGCGACAGGAACGGAGAATGTATTCCTTAACTTCAATCCTGAATTTCAAAAAGTACATTTAATTACTTTCCTAATTAAATTATTAATAAAAGAACATTAGACATTCTTAAAAACTAAGTATAGTTTAAAAATAAAAAGCGTATAATATATATATATATATATATATACTCCGTCAATATATTTTAAAAAAAATAAAAATAATACACGAGGAGATACAGGCTAACATAAAAAATTAAATTGATCTCCTACACAAGTTCACCGTAGAATATTTGAAAGGCTAGGATCCAAAATGAAACAAACCTAAAATTTTCGATGTCAGAGAATAAGATTTATATATTGTTTTTCATTAGTTAACAACTTTTTGGGAGGATTATCTATTCTCGTAACATCAGGCCTCCGTGTAATGAAAAGAAATACACATAGTGTAATCACAAGCCTAAGACAGAGGCATTTATAACAAGACAATACAATCAAATCACATGTGGTTTACTATTTAGAATTGATTATGGGCCAACTACACATAGTGTAATCCTTACTTTTAAAGGTAATATATTTGTTGTCTTTCTTCAATAAATGAAAGTTGGAAAGAAAGGGCTAATGCTTTAAGCTAAGCTAAGCTAATTGGAGATTAGTGGCCACCAATTTTCGTCTCTCTTTTTATCCCCTTTTTGCCCCTCAAGTATGAGAGAGAGAGAAGAAAAAACCCCAAGCACATGGCCAATTTTGTGGCTAATATAAGTGATTAAGAATATGAACAAAAATTTAATAGACAATCCCATATTGTTGTGTAAACATGCACTTTATTTTCCCTATTTGAAGCACATATGGAAATTTATAGTAGAGATTACAAGACCATTTCACATGGCTCCCAAAGTTGCTACCATTCTAAGAAAAATATTCCTAATCTTTAGTGTCGAATTCTTCCGTTCTACCATTCATTTTTAGCCACGTTACTGCCAACGAAAAAGTTTTCTCCTCTAAATTGTGGTTCTACCCTTTGAACAAAGTTGTATTTCGTCGTTGATTTTCTGACCCTGTATCTGGTTGTTAAAATCTAAAAAAAATTAATATACTGAGTAGATAACTGGTGTAGAGTTTTAACTCATACTTCTAAAATCCGTTACCCTTTTTCAACTTGCACAGTGACTACCAACCAACTCAAGACGATTAATTTTACATTACTTTTACTTGGGTAGTGCCGAAAATTATAATCTATATGATGAATAATTATATTTCAAGTAAATTCTTCATGAGAAATTCATTAATTATATTTATGGGCTGAGATTTTGAAAACAAAAGTACTATTTGGATAAGGATGTTAAATTACTTTCCAAAACAAAGTACTTTTTACTATGGTGAAAACCATTTGAATGGTAGATTCTTCCTTTTTTATTTTTTTTATTATTATTATTTTTTATTTTTTTGGGATTGAACTATTTACTAAATGGCCAACAACCAAACAAGAAGCATAAATAAGAATAAATAGACCATAACCAAATAACCCATGAAAAATGAACACAACTTCATGAAACATTAAAAAAAATGTATCTTAAAAAAATATAACCAAATAACAACCCGATATTTGATAACTATTTCGTTTTGTTTTTTATTTTTGTAAAATAGGTTTTTTTTATAACTATTAACTAATTCAATTTTATGTTTTCTGTTTTTTAAAATTCTATGTAAATTTCAAAATAATAATAAAATAAAGTAATTTGTTTAAACAGTTTTCTACTTTTTTTTAAAATCTCATTTTTTGCTCTAATATCATCCTTTTCTTTCTTTGCATATTTTTCTTCAACATATTTTTTTATCACTCTAAATTGAGAAAAAAAATTTATATTTATCTCTCTAAACTTTTCATCTCTATAATATTAACTATTATCTCTTTCTCCAAAATTTTCATCTATATACTTTCATTTGTTTTCTTTTTTTCTAACATGCAATTCTCATTTTCCTCGCTCAAAAAATTTAATTTTTTTCCTAACTTTTTCCTCTCTTAAATTTAGAGTTTTATAACTTTTTTACTTTGTCAAGTAAATATATCCCCAACTTTTCTCTATCTTTTTTTTTTGTCTAATTTTCCTTTTAACTTTCTTTTATATATTTTTTCTCACTATAATTTTTCTCCCTTTCTAATTTTTCATTATGTCTTTTGCTCTAAACTTTTCTCTCTTTCTCCTGAATTTTTTCTTTTTGTTTTAACTATCTTGCTAAAATTTTCGTCTCTAAATATCTTTCCTTTTCCTCCCTAAAACTTCTCTTTAAAAGAGTTTCATTTTATTTCTCTAAGCTTATAAATATGCCCAACTCTACTTTTTAAAATAATTAATATATATTTTATTAACAGTTTTACTAAATTATGAATAAAATATTAAATATTTTTTACAACTAATTATTTTATACTAGTAAATATAATAATTTTTCAACAAAATAGATATAATTTCACTAAACTAATTATTTATCCTCCATGTCCCCAAATGACGAATCATCGACCTAAACCTTGATTCCCTAAATCGAGAATAAGGTGGAGACAAAGACTAAAAAATTTCGCGAGGAAGAGGATGGTGAGGACATCCCAACTCTCACCGCACCTTGTTATCATTTCTACTTTACAATATATCTCTTCAACTCTCTAACTCTTAAATAAATTGAAAATCAAAATGGTTATTATGTTTGATTTTTTGTTCTAAATCTTCAAAACTTTATCAAAATTTGGAGCATGTTTGGTAACTTTTTTGTTTCTTCTTTCTATTTACTCATTTTAAATAAAAAAATAGAATTACATARCTCTTAACCTCCAATAATTCAAGAATGATAAAACGAGATTTTTATTTATGTCGGGAAAAAATGGAAACAAGAACAAGAAACCAAAAACTTGTTTTTGTTGTTTCCAAAACTTTTATACAATTTTGAGAATGTTTCTAAAAAATTGAGAAACAAGAAACATAAATAGTTATCAAATACTTTAATTTCTTAATAAAATTGAAGACGAGAAATAAGAAACAGGGTCATTACCAAACGGGCTCTAAATTTCTCACCTTCTATATTTTGTTCTATAATCTGTTCTATAATGCAACGAAAAGGTTAAGTTTGTTCTCTAAACTCTTTTGAAAAATCCAAATAAGCCCCTAAACTTCTAATTTGTTAATTTATTTACACTTACATGACACAGTAATGGTGATGTAAGGATCATTACACTTAAATAATAAAATAAACTAAGCATTAAACTATCGAAGTTAACAACATGAATCTATCCCATACAAAATTGAAAGTCCTATAAAAGAACTTTTAAAATTACACTATCCTAAAAGTCGTAATAATCATGAAAGGTTAAAGATCTGTTAGATATTTTCTAAAGTATAGAAACCAGAATCAAATTTATAATCAAAGCAATATATTGTTTCTTTCTTTCAACAATATTTTCTGTTATTTTTTATATCTTAATATTCTTTCATGAATATTTTTTTTCCCTTCTATTTTCAATGGTTTGAATTACATCTCTACCTAATCTACTTTCTTCGAGCAACTTTTTTTTTTTTTCTATTTTCAATCACTTCTCAAGATGAAGTCATCACCCATCCTCTGTTGCATGAGCATGACTAAATTTAACAGATCTCGTAACAAACTTGATAAAATCTGTTCCAAAAATGACAGTTTTGGCGAAAGACACAAAAATCTAACCATTTCATGGAAAAAAAAAAACACAAAACAGAAGCCACAAAAAGTATTCTCACTTTAATTGCTTGAAGAAATTAAAGGTCGATTTGGTTATACTCCCGTTTCTTGTTTTTGTTCAAAAATAGATTTGCATGACCTCCAACGTCCATGGATTCAAAAATGATAAAAACAATATTTTTATAGTTAAAATACTATTTTGGTATCTGTACTTTCAACTTTTGTTTATTTTAGTCCCTATACTTTTAAAGTATTCATATTGGTCCATATACTTTTTTAAAAAAATATCATTTTAGTCCTTATTTGCAAAATTTTAACACAAATTCTACAACATGGAAATCGTTTAATGTAAAATCATGGTTACATTTCATGACATATATTGAGTGTAGTGTCGTGCTGAAATTGTGATAGAAAAAATGAAATTAGAAATAAAATTAAATGACCAAAATGATCACTTTTCATAATACAGAGACCAGAACAAACGTTTTGAAAGTATAGGGACTAAAGTAAACCAAACTTGAAAGTATAGGAACCAAAACGAACATTTTGAAAGTACAATAACCAAAGTTGAAATTACCAAGGACGAAAATAGTATTTTAACTTTTTTTTTATTTATGTTTAGGAACAAATTGGAAACAGAAATAGAAAAACAAGAAACTTGTTTTTGTTGTTTCTAAACTTTCTATACACTTTTGATAATGTTTCTAAAAAAATGAGAAACACAAAACATAAATAGTCGTCAAATGCTTAGGATTTCTTAATAAAATTAGAAACTAATAATAAGAAACGGAATCGTTATCAAATGGATCCTAAAAGAAGTCACTGTCCTTTTGTAGAAACTCTTGGTGAGGTTTATAATGGTAAGAACATTCCCTTCCTACCAAATTTATCCTTACCCGATCTTTCATATTACTTAAAAACTAACCTAAAACTACTCATCAAATCAAACTAAAATCCCATGATCTCACAAGCGATAACCACACCAGAAACTTTAATTAAATTGGAAGATATTTATCTCAACTTTTCTACAGTATCCTGACAGAGTTAGGGGCAACATTTTTTTTATCCAAAACAATTTCATTATTGATGTACGAAATTACAAAAAAAGGGGAAAAAAGATCTCATCCAATAGAGTTACAAAAAGCCTCTCGATTTACACCAAGAACCAATAAAACTATAGCATAAACAAAACAATCGAAGAGTAGCTCCTCTTTTAAGATCCTTTGGTTTCTTTCTTGTCAAGTCATCCAAAAGATGGACGAAACGAAATTGTTCCAAAGATGTTTCTTTTCTTTGCTGAATAGGTGCCCAAAAAGGGGAAATGAGGAGAGAATATGGATCGCTAGGGATAACCATGGAACGATAAAAGTTCAATCTAGATGTATTAGCATAGTGATAATGAAGGAAGAGGTGACTCTGGGTTTCTGCATGCCTCTTGGAAATGGCACACCACTTAGGTGAAAGGCTCATATATGCCATCCTATTTTTGAGCTCTTCATGGGTATTTATAGTTGAAAATCAAACATGTTTTAATTATCCTAGATACATAATATATATGCATGAACTAGTAGTAAATTAGGCATTCGTGTATTATGTTGTTTAAGGTAGATTAATTATGGGTTCATGTATGTATGGATTCATAGGATTGAAGTTAATAGTTGGATCTAGATCTTTCCATAGAGTCCTATAAATAGAATTGTCTCTAATGTGTTTCAAGTAAATGTGTTGAGAAGAAAACAAATAATATATATAGGATTGTCTTTGATGTGTTTCGAGCAAATGTGAGTTAAGAGAAAGTTGGTGAACTAAATTTGTATTTTGTGAGGAATTTTTAGTACTAGTGAAGCCATTTCTTATAAAAAAAAATTGTTGTTTTATTATCAATTTGTGAGGTGTTCGTCACACACTTCTAACATTTATGGCTTTGTGACTAAGCTCCCACAGAAAGAATTTACTTCTTTATGAGTAATGATTCTTCCATATAGCTTCATACAAACAACATGTTTCTACAATCCTTTGGCAGTAGCTAAGGAATGGTTTCCTGGTTTAACGTTCGAGGGCTGGTTCCATATTTAGCATCAATAACCTTTCTCCAAAGAGCCTTTTCTTCCCCGCAATATCTCCAAATCCATTTTGCAAGGAGAGCTTTGTTCTTAGCCTTAGGCCTTGTGAGCCCCAATCCACCATCTTTGATGAGGGAGAAGAGTTTTCTCCCATCTAACAAGGAGTAAGCCTGATTTGTCATGATCTCCTTTCCGCAGGAAGTTCCTGTAAATCCTCTATATTGCTTGGATCACCTTTGTTGGCATATTGAATAGAGGCAAATAGTAGATGGAGAGATTAGATAGTATGACTTGTAGAAGCGCAAGGCTCCCTCCCTTAAACAAATGTGAATTCTTCAATCTTCTCAACGACGGAAGGAGCACAAACGATAATTGTCATTTAAAGGGAGAGTATTTGGCCCAGAACCAATCTTACATCCAAATATGTGAGCAACGTCCTCAGCCTCCTCCCTTTTTTTTTCATGAAATTACAAAAGAAGCCCAAAAGAGGGATTACAAAAAACTTTTCCAACTATAAAGTAAAGATGTTAAGCTATAACTGTGGAAAAGGAGGAGCATTTATACCACGATATGACCAAAAAAACAATAGATTCAAAGAACCAATCAAAAGGAGACTCCTTTCTGGTGAAGATACGATGGTTCCTCTCGTTCCAAGTTCTCCAAAGAAAGGCTCGAACAAAATTCTTCCACAGGAGCTTTTTCTTCTCTTTAAATGGATGACCCAAAAGAGTTGTTTCCAAAAGCAGAGGGGGTCTTGTGGGAGGCAGTGATCCATCCAAATATTCTATCCATATTCAATCCTAGACTTTTGATTTATGATGGTTAACATTTAAACTGTAGCTTCTTCAAAAACTTTAACAATAGTGAAAAGGTTGATCAATGCTTGGTCGTCCACTTCGGAGAAAAGGATAGCATCATCGGCAAATTAAAGATGGTGGATGCTAATGGAGCCTTATTCAAATCAAAGCCTTTAATCATCTTCATGGAGGAAGTGCGAGACATCATTCGTAGGCAACCAACAACCGTGATGAATAGAAAGTGCGATGGTAGGTCACCTTGATGAAGCCTGAATCTTTCCCATAGGACAACTATTGATAATAATGGAGAAATTGGTTGAGGAGGTGCATCTTTGCCCAAATCCCTTAGCCTCTAAGATAGCTTCCAAAGAATCTCAATCAACTTTATCAAAAGCTTTATCAATGTCAATGTCAAGCTTTATGATATAAATACCTTTATTCCTTTTCCTTTTCCATTCATGAGTTCATTGATGAAAAGAGTGAAGACCAAGCTTGTCAGTTATTTCTACAGCACTCGTGGCATTTGGAAAATCTTGCAACCATATCAAGCTACACTCATAAACGGAAGCAAACACTAAATTGTACAGCTAAACAGAACGGTATGAATCTTATTGTCCAATATTAGTTTTAGGCAACATAAAATTGCATTAAACTTTATGCTGGTTATGTTGTAGTTCATTAATTAATTGTAACTTGCACTCTTTTTTACTATACAGTACGCATATGAGTTCCTTAGATTGTCCCACTTTCACTCCTATCCATTCATTGATTCTGTTCACTCACAGTCACAGCCTTGTCCTGGCTTTCTCTATGATTGTATCACAATTCATGTATAAATCATCCCTAATTTTCTCACTCCAAAACCATTGAGCCTCCAAAATACCAGTGGCTGTCATGCGTTTCTCATCCCTCCTTGGCATCAGAATGTCTTATGTTTGCAGGTCTCTTAATGGCTAAGTAGGTGAAGCCTTAGCTTTCACAAGTCCATCCACCACTGCAACTCCTACCACTGATTCCACTACTGCAGCCAATGCAGTAACCAACCACTGCCGTGACATATACAAATCCCAACCCTGCCCCATCTCTCATTTCTCAAATTGTCCTGAACATGCTTCACTTGAGAAACTCTGATCATTTGGAAGGTTAAAACTATTTTCCTCTCTTTTTTTTTGTATGAAAAACCAAACTTTCATAAAGAAACATGAAATAAAATAAAAGGGCATACGAAAAACCGGTCCCCACAAAAGGAGTCCTAAGAAACTCTTATCATTTGGAAGGTTCAAACTACATCAACCATATTCATATGAGTTGAGCTGTTATGACTTATGATTGTAAAACTCTATCCACTCTCCCTTGAGAGATAAAGCAACAAAAACTAAAAAGTAAAGCCAGGATATTAATGAATAATGATAAGAGTAAGAACAAAGTCCAAACAACAATAGACCATCAAGTTAGAGTGAAGTGTCAAAGGATAAATAGAAAATAAATATTACAGCATTAACTTGTAGAGTGGAAAGGTATAAACAGATACTAACATACCTCATTCAACATCCTTTGCAACTCATCTCTTGCCTCAACAACTCGGTCCCTATCATTGCTATCCACAACAAAAATATAGCACTGTGTAATCTGGAAATAGTGCCTCCAAAGTGGACGGATCTTTTCAGAAACCATAGTCAAACTTCAATAATCATAACAGCTCTGAGAAATTCGCACAAGAAATTAGCAAAGGCTTAAGATGGCACATAATAATTTAAAGTGGGGATTCATTTATGTTCATGCATAATTCTGAAAATACTGCATATCCAGGATTTTATTATCAAGAATGCAATCAAGTATCATGTTGTTGAGATATATATATATATATGAATTAAATTTACCCAACTCATCAACTTAAGTTTTTGGAGTTGAGTGATGGTTTATTCATCCTTAACATAGTATCAGAGCGGGAAGTCTTGTGTCTAAACCTCTGATTGTTGTTTCCTCCCCATTTATAATGATTTCTATTTCCTATGCCTAATTAAATTTATCCAACCCATCAATTTAAGCTTTTGGGTTGAGTGGTGGTTTATTCATCGTTAACACATATTATGCATAATAAATAGAATAATAACATTATGCATACTGTACTATATCTATTAAGTAGATGGACTGAGGGATCATACAAGACTCCTGTATTAAAACGTAAAGAAAATCACAAAAAAAAAAAAAAGCGCCAATCATTTCAAACTGATCCACGGTAATTTCCATTACGGCAGACATGAAATTCAAATTTTAGCTCAGCAACGAACAAAATATATCAAAACAACGAGGGAGATGAAAAAATTTGGCAATGTACTAGACAATGAATCTCCTATGTTTACACTTTAAGATTGATTAAGATCTGCCAGTGAGCTCCTACGATATTGAATTTGAAAAACTGGAGATTGAAGAGAAATGGAAGCAGAGCGGCTCACCTCTCGAATTCGGGGCCTTCGGGAGACAACTCTGAAGGGAAAAGGGGCAACAGGATCGTACCGATGGTTCCTTCTTCCTTTCTTATAATGGCTTCATAATTATTTATTTATTATTTGAATTTTCGATTTTTTTTTTATGAAATTTGAATTTTAGAGCAATATTTTCTTTATTTGGTATCTAAGTTCTTTAAGATTTTAATTATGTATTTTGGATATTTAACTTAAAAAAAAAGTTATACCTACTCTAATACTTATACCCTCATTATTTCTCTTTCTTTCAAACATCATCCTCCCCAATTCTCTACCGGTTCTTTGCCTCTCTTAGCCATTTTCGAGTCTAAACTCTTCATCTATCTTATATTTCAACACACCATCTTAATTCTAGATGCAAGGACATGTTTGTCCAAACTTTTTTTTCTCAAAGTTCTTTAGCTAACTAAATCTACGGACAATTGGTTGGTTCATATGATTCTTAAAAAACTACTAACGACCGACCAACTAAAATCGACGGCTCGTTTTTTAGTATCGGGTTTCAACTAAAACTAACGTGATCGATCGATGTGCATCTATATATTGTGGAAATTTAGTGTCATATAGTGACACACTCGTGCTACTCAATATTTGTCTTAGTTATTTCCATATTTAAATCAAAATATCTAGAAAAATTATAGTATACTATTGTATAGATGCTTTCTATATTCACACTATAAATGGTTCAGTCATGATTATGTAACTATTTAATATTGTTAGGCGATTTCCACGTCATTCTTAATTAATGATACTAGTGTGGCAAAAAAACAAATTGGAGTAGTACTCATACTACGGTAGTGCAGGAAAATTTCCCAAAAATACCCAACCTTAATTGTCCCTCAATGCTCACTCATGTCATGACACGCGTGCGTCATGTGGTGTTGGCTCACCTATGCATCATATTGCTCAAGGGAGATGTAGAGTCGAAGATTTTGTACCTTCCTATAGGCATTTTTGGAGAGTGACAATAAATTACTCATATGACTCACGTACAATGTTACTTGAACTCGACTCTTTACATACTTTTTACTCATGTCATGTATCTGAACCAACATTTGTTCATCTAAAAGTAACAAGCCAACATTGACTTTTAAGATCGTGATAAGTGGCATATCTGAATGAAGGTAAAAATTCAAGTGAGATATTTGTTAAATCAAAGCAAAAATTTACCTAAATCTAGAGCCTAAGTTAAATACAAATCTTTAGATCTTTATTTTTAGATCTTTTTAAAACCAAGACAAATTATGGAGTGTAATTGTCTTGTTGTTATGTAAAATGCCCTTGGCCAAATTATGTTTTTATTCCATATATTTTAGTTTAGTTTCAATTTTATACCTCCTCCATATTTATTACCACTCTCTCCATTTGCGTGTTTTTTTTCCCCAGAAATGAGTTATTTGTGAGTATAAATATCTATAACAATATAGATCTAACCAATATTATTAGTTATATGTTAGATGTTTATCCTAACGTTTTTTAATATCATTCAATGAAAATAAATGTTTTAAAACTTAATATAAATTAGCGTTATAGTTCATCGGTAATTGACATCTACCATTTCTTTTAAAGTCGAATGTTCAAACTCTCATACTCACTTATTGTACTAAAAAAAATATGAATGTCACATAAATAAAAATGTCGTCTTATCAAATTTATTCGTGTCACACGCATTGATACTATTATCACTCACTGATAATAGATAATATTCTATTTATTGAATTAATATTCTAAACAAATGAAACTGAAAAATTGTGCTTGAACCAACAATGAAAACAAATTAGTTTATAGTCGAATTTGCATTAGTGCCCCTACTATTATCTTGATTTTCCATTTTTGTCTCATGCTTTTATGGAATTTGTAATTGAACCCCTAGATAGTAGATAATTTCTTATTGTTCCCCAAATCTTCATCAAATCACGTCATTGCACACCTTTAGTTTAGACGCGGCCCACGGCCTTCTCCTTCGCACAGCTCGCTTGGCCCAGCTCTGCTCCTCCACCGGTCTACCGTCGGCGGCGAATTCCGGCGGCCATGGCTTACACGGCTCGATTACACCTTTCACTGCATCATGCTCTTCTTCCTCCGGCATACCGTCGCTTGGCTCTTCCCGCCGTTTTCCGCCGGCTGAGCTGTTTTTCTTCTACTAGCCAGTTCTTCTCCCACTCGAGTAAGCTCAGACCACCGTCGACTCTTGTTTACGCGCAGGCCAAGCGAGGCTTCTCTGCCAAAGAAGACGATGCAGCTTTGTGTAAGCTCAAACCTCGAATTTTGTTTTTCAACTTGTAGTGCTATCTCTTTATGTTAGTTCTTCAATTTTTTTACATTCGCTTATATAAACTAGCTAATAAGGCTGTGATTATTTAGCTGCTGATCTTGAATTTGAGGCGCCGCTCAAAATTGTGGAATATCCGGACCCAATACTCAGAGCAAAGAATAAGCGTATTGATTCATTTGATGATAATCTGAAGAAGCTAGTGCACGAAATGTTTGATGTAATGTATAAGTAAGTTTACGAAGCCTGCTACATTTCCTCTGGTAACTGGGTATTTGTATTCATACCATTTCATGAAAGAAGGATAAAACTCGTTAGTTGGCATATTTAGTCTTTTTAACATTTTCTTAATATACTCTCTCACTTGTGACCTCGGAAATTAGCACGAGATGCAACAAGATGCTAATTAGGGAGCAAATAATAGGTTTGCATATAGAAACTCCTGGTCCGATGGCCAAACTTGCTTGTAAACCTAAAAGCAGCTAATAGGTTAGGACATATTAAATAATAGTCGAGTGCGCATAAGTTGACTCAGACACTCATGGATATCAAAATATTTTTAATATATTCTTAACATATACAGAATTTGTAGAGGGTCAAGGCTCTCGATAAGTTTCATGTTTCTCTTTGGGTGTCTGTTTCTAAGGACTGTTGTAATTATCCTGTGGATCTTATTCTTTTAGATGGTAAGTATTTTCTATTTATTAGGTCTTTAGCCATTGTTTTTTACTCCCTTCTCTGGACTGTGGTATTTGTAAGCCTCTCTTGTATTTTGATGACCTGGAATTGAAGCAATTTAGCTTTACTTCTCTATAGCTGGGGCACCTGCAAATGCCTCAAAGTTTGAACCGAGAGACATCAATATTTTTGGTATTAAGCTCATCTAGAGGTTCGAATATGGGACCTCTTGGCCTTTGCCAAGGAGGCAAGCACCTCTTGTATTATTTCATTTCCCCAATGAAAACCCTTCTTTTAAAAATTTATTTAGAGAATATACTTTTAACATATAAGTTCATTCTGTTCTTAGTCGGGTGATATCATTGATATGTGAAAGATTAAGTTCTTGTTACTATGCATGAATGATGAATTCTGAGTTAGGGCCATTATTACCTTCTGCTATTTACAGGAAAGTGAACAATACTTGTTGGCTTCATTGTCCACAGAACTGATGGTATTGGGCTCTCAGCACCTCAAGTGGGAGTTAATGTGCAACTGATGGTATTTAATCCAGTCGGTGAACGAGGTGAAGGGGAGGAAATTGTTCTAGTAAACCCAAGAGTTTTCAGATATTCCAAGAAAACTGTACTCTTCAATGAAGGTTGTTTGTCATTCCCGAGGATATATGCTGATGTAGAGGTACTGTTGAATAAGGGTTCTTTTCTCTCACTGCCTACTTTCAAGTTTAAGTATGGTGTTGAGTAGCTTTTTCCTGAACTTGATATTATGTTTTTCTCAACTAATTGAAATTTCAATTGGCCAAGCATCGAGTGTAATTTTCATTCAAAGTTTGCAAATATAGATATGCTCTAAATTACAGCATATTCACCTTTTAAATGTACATGGAAACTTTGCTTCCTGTGCCTCAGAAATTCCAGGGTGATACTATTATTTAATATTTGGTCAGGCAATTAGTTGTTCTTTTAATGCTTTGTCTGAACTGAAACATTAAAGCAGTTTCTATAGTTGTTAAATGATGTTGTTCACACACTACAAGTTTGTACGGAACATTTCACTTTAGAGGACCATACCTTCCCTGCTGCTGAACTCTGTTTCTTCTTCTTTGAGCTGTGATTGTGATGAGATGAGTTCATTTTTTTGGTAATTTCAGAGACCAGAATCAGTTAAGATCGATGCACGAGACATCAGCGGTACAAGGTTCATGGTCAACTTGTCAGGGCTCCCTGCAAGAGTTTTCCAGCATGAATTTGACCATTTGCAGGTCTTTTAATTAGTTTGAATTAAATTATTTTATGCAACATTTCCTTTTAACATTCTTTAATTTAACCGTGCCACACTTTCTTACTCACAATCTCTGTTTTCAGCAACATTGCTCAATGGCATTCTACAAATGCATGATTAAATTGGTCTCTGTATTCTATGTTTTAATCACCACCAAGCATTTCTGTTGGCTCACATTTTTCCTAAGAGTGCTATTGAATTTGCAGGGAATTTTGTTCTTTGACAGAATGACGGATGAAGTACTCGATACCATTCGTGCTCAGCTGCAGGTGAGTGATATCCCCTGCACATTGTTTCATCTTCTTTACCATAGGGAGTGGCATGTTAGTCTTTTTAATATCGGTCTGGAAAGAAAATTAAAATTGATGAGTTTGAACGGCGAGGTGAGAATGAAGCACCAAAACCTCCAGATTGTGGATAGGGTCCAAATTGCTTATGAATTGGCGAAATAAGATCTTTATTGATGACAAAAAGTATTTACTATGGTATACTTCCCCTTATCAAAAAGAAATATGTTATGTAGCATCATAGCATGTACCGATATACTGAGCTTTATTTTGTTCCTATTTTTGCTGTGAAGGTGCCCCAGGGATAAAAGCTTAAGATATTTGGAGATACCTCCAAAGTCCTAGTCTCAAACTTCCAAATTGGGAACTTTTTTGTTTTTAAAAATTTAGCTTATAAACACTGGAAACACTACTTTCACCCCGTGTTTCTATGTTTCGTTGTCTACTTTTTAATAACATTTTCAAAATCTAAACCAAAATTTGAAAACTAATGCTCCGTTTGATAACCATTTGGTTACGCTTGTTTGCTCAAATTCTTGATGAAAACTATTTTTTTTAGTTTTCAAATTTTAGCTTAGATTTTAAAATTATTTATAAAAAGTAAATGTAAAACAAAGAAATATACAAGTGAAAGTAGTGTTATTGTTTACTAGCTTGATTTTCAAAAATAGAAAACAAAACATAAAATAGTTATTAAATGGAGCCTAACAAAGTAGTTCTTAAAAACTTATTATTATTATTATTTTTATTTTAGTTTGGCTTGGAACTAAAATGTGCAGTGTGAGAATGTTGAAAAACATACCAAAGAAATTGAGAAAGAGTAGGCATAATTTTAAGAAATAAAAAACTAAAACGAAAATAATGGGGGCATAACTTAAAACCTTTGTTCTCCAGCTTGGGTGGTTGAATTGAAGTTTCCCCAAAAAATAGTGAGGTGGTCCACGAGTATCATACAAGGAGTAGGGCATCGACAACTCCGTTATTTTAGAAACTCAAAAGAAAAGATATGTTCCTAGTTTCTGAAGTTGGCTAATTTGAAGTTGCATTAAATTAGCCTTGTTCGAGACCTATGGGTTATTTTTCCTTCTCCATGAACTTTTAGATTTCATTGAAGACCTTTCTTGCATGAATAGGGGATTTTTTCATCGTTCTTTTTGGTGTTCAGTAGTTGGCTTTTGTCTTCAGCATCTTCTTATTTGGACAGTAGATCAGATTTTGGTCCTGCATTCGATTATAGCTGCTAATGGCTTTTCTTTTATTGTGGTTTTGATTTCGAGTTCTCCATGGGGTGTCTTGCTCATCAGTGATGTATTTTGGCTCATACTGTTTGTGGGGACTTTTGCTATCTTTTTTCTCTCTTTTTTTTCTCCTTTCGGAACTCTTTTCCCCCCCCTTTTTGTGTGTGATTCCACCAGTACAATAACGCTGGTCTTTATAAATCACTCCATTTACCATTCTAATAGGAATGCATTTGGAGTAATTTGGGAAATCAATAGAATAGTAAGGTATGGTAGTATTTAGTTAAGAAATTGGGGAGAAGGTATAAAGATAGACAATTGTTTTGTGTGGTTTAGATTTGAGTGGCCTCATTGGTAAGGGCTTGAGGTCTTTTGATTATATCGGCTTGGAGGTCTGAAGTTTGAACGAATGAGTTTAATACAAAAAAAAACTCTTAATATATCTTGGATCCAGACTTTGGGGTAGGCGTAAGTGCCCCTGGTCTAGAGAGGCAAAGCTCCAACTCTCTGGTTATTCAAACAGAAGAGAAAAATAAAATAAAATAAATAAAGTGATCTCAAGAGAGGGAGAGTCCAAGTACCTCAAATTACTTCGAGATTATTGTAGTCTAATCCTTTTATCTTTAAATCTATTCCAACTATTTGGTTTCTATCAAATTCTTGGAAACAACCTTGAATGTAGAAGTTGAAAGTTGTAGAATCAGTCCTAAGCACGTCGTCTAAGTTACCTCCGATTTTTAAGGAGCGAGCAACGTGTCTATCTTGCATTACGAGTCTCTGACACTTCGCCATTGAAAAGAGTGAGCCAAAGTTTCTGTTAATTATTACTTTGTGATGCAGGCCCTGGAAAAGAAGTATGAGGAGAGAACTGGATTACCAAGTCCTGAAAGAATAGAGAACTTCAGAACAAAGAAGAAAGTTGCTGCTGGTTATGGTTTTGGAAAGTCATGATCACACAGGTTTCATTTCATTACACATTTTGAATATGAATGCTACTTTACTAACATTGATCAACTGTATGATAAAAGGAAAATTTGAATTTGATAGTTTGATGAACTTGGTAGGCTGGATTTTTGTTGTAAGAGATATTTAGTCGGTTTTAAGGGGGAAAAAAAAAACTACCGCCGTCTGTGGGGATCGAACCCACAGTCACGTGGTTAAAAGCCACGCGCTCTACCACTGAACTAAGACGGCTTTGTTTTTTAAAAACTAATCAAAAGATAGAAAGCATAATTAATTTTTTTTAGGGCGTATTGAAAACTTTTAGGAGTAAAGGAGTATAATTGAAACTAAGGTTGAAATATGAGGATTAAAAATGTAATATAACTTATTGTTTTTAATGCATTGAGTCATGTGACGCAATGATACCACATAAGTGATCCGTTTTTGTTTCATCTTATATTCCTTCTATCCCGTTGCAGTCTAAACTAAATTTTTTTTTTTTGCTTTTTGATAATGATGAAAACGTTGAAGTCTCAATTTTATGAAAATATCGAAGTTTCATCCTATAAAATATGGAAGTTTCAATTTTATTGAAATGTTGATGAAAAAATCAATAAAATATCGATTACAAAATTATTTAAATTAATAAATAAACATCTTGTGATTATAAAATTATTTAAATTAACAAATAAGCATCTTGCATGTGTTTGTTAATGACATTGTGTTGATATTTTCTAATACTTCATTGTTTTTCTTACGATAAAATGCAAATATCGATTTATCCTTTATGTTGATGTCGACGTATGAAAATGTCAACTTATTAATTTAAATTTAATACCCTACTTCTACTAATATATTGTTTGATATATTGTTTGGCTTTGCATGAATTAGAAGTCGATTAGCTGGCATTGGATTTATATAATTTAGATTTGTGAAATGGGACTACATTTAGCACGTGGGTTCATTTAATCTGAATCGATTTCAATCAATATCAGCAAATTAATATCCATTAGTTTGGATTCATAGATTATAAAATCATTGGTTGATTTAATTTGAAAAGAAAAATCAATTTCAACACTCTAGTAGCTTTATTTCTAGTTTTAGCGCATTTATTACGTAAATAAATAGCACTAAAAAATTTGCAATTGAAATTCTTGGATTCAAGAGTAGGGCTCCTCACGTATTAGTATACAACTTAGATTATTAGTTGTCATTCGATATACTAATTTAGCTTATTAATTATCATTCCGAGTCTTGTCCCTCTAAGTCTTCTCCGTGTTAATATAGCAACCTAATTTATTAATTATACCAACCTAACTTATTAGTTTACTCTAAAATTTTCAATAGTTATTAACTAACTAATGAATTGACATTTTAAAAATGGATACTTCTCCACAAGTATAAAAAATAACCTTAAGATGGGAATGTAAAATACCCCAACATCTCCACAAGCCAAATATTTAACACTTTAATAAACAAATATGATTTTTTTTTTTTCCTTTTTTCCGAACCTTTACCTTTACCTTTTCCACTAAAATACGATGGAATAGGTATATGAGAATTCAAAACAAGAACAACGTCATCTCAAAATAAACTATCGAGATTTCTCAAACTATTAGCTTGAATCTAATTCAAATATGGTGAAAGTATGAAAATTTTCCATACTACTCCCTCCCTACTCATTATTTGCCACAATATCAGATCTTAAGAATGCAGTAGAATCCATAAAATAATACAATATATCAAATTGTGAAGGGAAGAAGAAAGTAATACCATAGCCATAGAAAATGTCCCAAAAATACTGAACTTGGTATTAAATGAAAAGAATGCACTTTTAAAAGCTAAGAATAGCTTAAAGCATCGGGAGTACATGTATAAGTATAGCCCAAACCTTTTCCCCTAAATTGATAGCAATAAAATAATCGCTGAAACAAAACAAAACTATCCTTTCCAGAATGGTGAGAACTCTGAACATAGTCCTGAACACCCAAATCATTTACCGCCTCAAGCCTGAACAGAAACAGATACGCAATGGTCCCGGTTAACCATTTTATTTTCGATTTTCTATTTTCAAAAATTAAACTTGTAAACACTATTTTGTTTTTAAATTTTGACCAAGAGTTTAAAATATTGTGATCAAACAAGTATAGTTTTCAAAAGCTACAAATGAAATGGTTATCTATTATTAAAAAAAAAAACAAAATCTTCATTTGTCTTGGGCTTTTAAGTAAAAAAAGCCATTCCAATCCTTATGGTTAATTTTTTATGGATTGTTTAATAGAGTAACATATGTTTTGAAAGCCGGGTTTCGAAATAGTGATCACATGAAAAATTTAGGCAAGGACTAAAATGGCTTTCATGCAAATTATATTAGAAAGTTTAGAAAGTTTAGAAACTAAAATAGAATAACTTTTCGAGGCACAGAAATTCAGAACTCAGTAGTAAAAAAAGAACCATGTAGACAAGTGTTTGGAGCCATATGTCAGACTTCAGCTGTCGTATTTCGAAATTGGATTTTAAGGTTTCTATTGGTCTAAATTTTCAAAACTAAAACAGAAAATTTGAAAGTTGAGGGAATAAAATAAAATAGGCAAAGCACAGAAGTTCAGAACTCTGTAGTAAAAACGAATGCATTTTGAATTACTGTCGGAATCAAACTTAAGGTGCATTTACCTTGCTAACAATGTTGTTGGAAAGCCAGTCTAAGCCTTCGTACAGGCCCTCTCCAGATGTCGCACAAGTGCTCTGTATGTACCTGCAATGGAACACCGTTTAAAATGAGTTGCTTTATATCGCTCATCATCTCACCATCCAACTTCAAATAAACTTGAATATTCTATGTCAGTTTTCTGATAGGCCCCACTTAAGAAGGTTTATGGTAGGAAGAGGAGTGGAGGGAGCCGAACGGCCTAAATTGTGATTGTGCAATGTAGCTGAGGACCCGAATTAGTTGCTGGGAGGGATATTTTTGGTAATGGGTAGGGTGTATTAATAGACTGTTATGGAGAGGTGTCCTTTTGGCTACAGATAGCTCTCGAATTCTCCCTTGGCTCTTGAATATCAAATAAAGAACGTGATTTCTATCATTTTCTTCGGTATCCTCACGGATTTGGAGCAACACTGAGAAATTCACTCTTCCAGCTTTGGGAGTTCAATAAAAAGTCAAGTAATTGACTTGGGAAAAATAATAACTAGACCATGATACAACAATTGCTTTAATGCTATAGTATAAGAGCAACAAGAAAACAACTGTTATCCAGATCAAATCAATGAAGGCATCTTGTGAAGAGTGAAAGCAACTTAATTACCAGTGGCGCTGGCGAAGAGAGTGAAGACCAAGCTTGTCGGTTATTTCTGCAGCATTCATGGCATTAGGAAGATCTTGCTTGTTAGCAAATACAAGCAAAACGGCATCTCTAAGCTCATCCTGCAACCAGAATTAGCATTTTAATTGATACCACAGAATGTCACCTGAACAAAATGCTTAGCAATACATCTAAAGAGAACTATATCAGTCTTACTGTCCAATGGCAGCAAACTGGTAAAAAACAGGTGGTGACAAATAGGTAGCATTTCTGCACATTGACATAAATGCAGATGGAAGGAAACCGAAACCCAACAAAAAATTAGATAACCAGATTTAGCTAAAACCTTCTTTCTTAGTAACAACTGAACTAACCATCTTGTAACAAACTCTATCAAAATCCAGGTTCCTAGACACAATAAAATAGTTGCCAAAAATTGTTTTTCACGAAACTAAATCCTATAACTGAAATTATGACAAATAGCAAAATTTAATAAAGATTAAGAAGTAAAGTAACAAAATTAAAAAGAGTCTGAGCCATGATTCAGAAAAATATGGATAGTAGGAAAAAGGCAAGCAATCCACCAATACACAGCGATAGTCCATCAAGTAGGGCAATTTGTCAATTATGTATAGAAAATAAAATATAACAGCATTAGGATGCAGAGAGGAAAGTTAATACAGGTACGAAGATACCTCATTCAACATCCTGTGCAACTCATCTCTTGCCTCAACAACTCGGTCCCTATCATTGCTATCCACAACAAAAATAAGGCCCTGTGTATTCTGGAAATAATGCCTCCAAAGTGGACGGATCTTTAACAAAAAACCACATCAGTCAAATTTCAATTAAACAATATATTGCAGAACAATTTCTTTGGACTTTTTTTTCTCAAAGAATGTAAACGAACATATATAGCATAAGCAAACACCTAAAATGCCCCAGCAAGAATTTGGTTATTTTCATGCATAATCCTCATTCTAGAAAATGTTGCAAATCTAGGTCTGTTATTCTTGATAATGCAAATATATATTATATAATTAAATTAAGAGTAAGAACAACATGCATTCAATATGTCAAATTAGTACATGTATATGATTATTGCTAATTACAAATTCTTATGATTTTTACATCGTTTCCTAGGTCAACCATAGCAAATGAAATGAATGCATTAACCCTTAAATATTGAAAATTTGCATTTGCTGCTTTTAATTATCATTATAACAAGAAACTGCCAAGTAGCAACCGAATGAAGCATCAACCACTTTCTGTGCATATCAGGAAAAAAAGGTGATATTCTATATTGATGATAAATTCAGAATAAACGAACTGGTTATCTCTTAATCTTAAGCATAGTGAAAATCAGGGAGGGAAGGAGGGAGGGAGGGAGGGAGGCATACCTTGTCCTGACCACCAACATCCCAAACGGTAAAGCTGATGTTCTTGTATTCTACAGTCTCCACATTAAATCCTGCAGAAAAGAATCGACTATTAAAACTATGACTTCCCTTAGACGGATTTAGACAAAATTGTACGTAATGGCAGCTGTGAGACATTATACAACAATTGCAATGCTTTGAAAGGACAAAGCATTGCCTGGGAATCCATATATGCTTGGGAACCCAAATGTAAGAAACCAAAAGTAAGATGCCATGATCCAAAACAACTATATTCACCCAGAGCGACCTTCATCTCATTTATTATTGTTCATTTGCAGAATGCTTGACTCTTGTAAAAGTAAAAACCATAAGTACACACAACAAGCTTGAAATTGCACACCAGTAATCGACCCTAAGACATTTGATGATCACGAATGTTAATGGTATAGGACCCATGATATCAAGGATGGCCCTAGTTTTGAACCTGCAGCCTCCAGGTTATCCGAAGGACCAAAAGGATTGAGGTTCTTTGACTCGAAAAAATAACATTTCACTTGGCCACAGAACTACATCAGAGTAATGCAATACTCAATCTCTCTTTTCAAATTGAAACAGGCTCTGAAATATGGTGATATGTGTTAATTGCCCTACTTGATGTTGGGTGTATCTTTGCCTTACTTTTTCCAGTTCTTTCTCGTAAGATTAGATGTAGATGGTTAGTTGATTATAAAGCTCTTTGTGCTAATTCTGTCACAAGAAAGCGAGAAAACATTCGATTTCTGAAATCATGTCCAGTGTTGGTAGTTTAGTAATTGAAGATGAGATAACAATTAAAACCCTCTGTGCAATACAAAACCTGCAGGTTGGAAAAGCCACATCTCTCACCCTTCCCACTTTTAGTTTTAGGAGCACATAAATCACCAAACAGATGATTTTACAGCTAAGTTCTTGAATCCAAAAAGTTGCCACTATAGCTTATTTTGTAGATAGAGACTCACCGATAGTCGGGATGGTGGTCACGATTTCTCCGAGCTTTAGCTTATACAAGATCGTGGTTTTACCAGCAGCATCAAGACCCACCATCAAAATGCGCATCTCCTTCTTAGAAAAAAGTCTGCCGAAAAGCTTCGTAAAGGTCAACCCCATTTCTGCTACCCTCAATCCGGGCAACAATCACAGCACTGGCGAGCAAGACCACTTAAAATTAGAAATCAAACATTTCGAATTGTTTGGATATGGACCAAACAGATCTCCAACAACGAACACCTAATGATTTATCACGAATAGAAGCCAAAAGCAGAACCACAATTAACCACAAAATAAATTAAAATTACCACAATACTTCGTCCCTCCTGATCCCCTAATATTATTTAAACCACGCAACGAGAATTTCAAACTGATCCAGGGAATTGATTCGGCAACCAAAAAAGCATATCCAGAAAACGAGAAAGATGAAAGTGCCAACAAAAAGAATCTACGACAACGAACAATTATTCCAATAATATCATGGAAACAAACAATTAGCAATCTAGCAGGAAACAGATAAAATGAATCCGTAAATCTCTACAGCTTATAATCAACAACAGATCTTCCAGAGAAAAAGATAGAGAGATTGAAATTGTTTACCTCTCGAATTGGTGAGAAATCTGAAGGGAAAGAGGGATACGAGAGCGTTCCGGTTCCGAGGTTCCTCTTCCTTTTTCTAATGGCTTCATTCATATTTGTTTTATTTTTTTATTTTTATTGATTTTTGTTTGTGGAGCGAAAATGTGTTCAAACGTGGAGGGAAGGGAACATGGAACGGTGGCATGACGAAAACGGTGCCGTTTCAGGCCTTACAAGTGCCCAATTCAATTTGAGTTGCCACAATTGCCCTTTTGTTCTCTGGCTTTTTTTTACTTTTGTTTTTGTTTTTGCTTTTTTTTTTCTAATAATTGTTTTTGTCGAGTCCTGATAACAATTTAGTATCTGTAACTTAAAATTGTAACAATTTAATCTCTATAATTTTAAATCGTAACAATTTAATCCATATCGTGAAAAATCTTGTCAAAATTAAGTGAGAGTTGTTTTTTTAACAAAAAATAAGTGTCGGTTATTATTATATAATAATTTAATATTTGTAAATCTATATGTAAAAAATCTTATCAAATACTTACTATATAAAAAATAATTTTAATTAATTGTCACGATTAGAACATCTAATTAACATTAGTATGTGATTTAATTTTATATTTTTTATATATTGTTTAGATAAAAATTAATAAAATAATTTCTTAATGGTTAAAAGTAGTACTATAATGATAAATCTAAAATACTCGAGTATGTTATCTTCGATTGAGTTTTCTCTCCTCCTTGAGAAGACTAAGTTTTTTCAAAGGAATTAGAGAAAAAAAGTGGGTGGCCAACTTCCCTCCTCTCCTTCTCCTTCTATGCGAATGTTGTGCATTTTCTCAGTCCTTCGACTATGTTTCTCTATGTTTTATTCCAATTATTTTTTTATTTTATTCAAAGAGTAAGTAACATAGACTTCTCTTGTTGTTGTGGAAAAGATTTTTAGGAAAAATCCTCCTTTCCTCCTAGTTTCTATAATGGCTAAYAGTGGTTGGGTGTCGGGGATCTCCCCGTTGGATGCCTATAGTGTTGTTGCGACTGAAAAAATCAAATGCAACATTGTTATGTATGATTCACCAACTGAAGCTTAGCTCAACGGGTTAAGGTACATACGTACGACTAGAAAGTTTCGAGTTTGAATCTCACACCCCCACTTGTTGTACTCAAAGAAAAAAAAAACATTGTTATGTATGGTTCGATCAATCTGTCATTTAGGATAGTTGTTTTCTTGTGTGGATTTTGATTATTGTACGTGGTCACCACTCTTCTGATGTAACCTTAATGATTCTATTTAGTTTTTATATAGTATTTCTTTGATTAAAAAAAAAACTTMTTTGTTAAAGCAAACCCAACAGTACATGGCAACTGGCAACTGAGGATTTAATATTTCTTACAAAGTTAATATTGAAGCTCTTGTAAAATTATGGAGCAAAATGAGGCACCACGAGTCACGAACAACGAGGAAATATGAGATTTAAACAAAATACGAAATTGGAAATGGAAATTGAAAATGAAAACATAAATTTAAAAAACAATTTCTCTCCAATTTCTCTTGGAAATTCAACAAAGTTTTCCACCAAAATCGACTACAATTTTCACTACCATTATCCATGAATTGCCACTATTTATAGGCAATTTATACAACCATGAGGTGTTACATTTGGACATTAATAATAGGTAGAAAATAGACACATGAGATATTGAGAATTAAGCACATGGATACGAGTCAACTTGACACTTGGAGACACTAAGCAAATGAAAGAAATTGACACATGGGGTTAGGGTTATTTAGACATCTGAGTTATTTAGACATCCCATATTTTGACACCTAGGTTGGRCATATAATTTGGATAATGTTTATAATACTTCCCCTTAGATGCTCATTGTTTATATGAAATATGTCTCGTACCTTACTAAGAAAAAACCCAGTGGGAAAGAAATCCTAGTGAAGGAAAAAGATTACATATTTCATACGATCTAACAAACCCAAAAGAATACAATAAATTATGCTCCCCTCATAGAAACATCACTTGAGATCTCTGAGCCGTCTTATTCCAATGTCGCATACCAATCTTTCAAATGTTGTAGTAGGGAATGCCTTTGTTAATAAATCTGCCAGGTTATCCTTCAAACAAATTTGTTGAATATTAATGTTGTCATTTTCTTCAAGATCATGGGTGTAGAATWGCTTAGGTTATATATGTTTTGTTCTATCCCCTTTAATATATCATCTTTTGATTTGGGCTATACATGCTGTGTTATCTTCGTATAATATCATTGAAGGATTATTAAGAGACAAGCCACATGTTCCGTGAATGTGTTGAGTCATTGATCTTAGYCATACACATTCTCGACTAGCTTCATGAATTGCAAGAATTTCAGCACGATTTGAGGAGGTAGCTGTTATGGTCTGTTTCAGCTAATCGCCATGATACAACAATTCCTCCACATGTGAATAAATAACATGTTTTAGTTCTAGCTTTGTATGGATCAAATAAATATCTAGCATCTGTATAACCAACTAGATCAAAATTTGATTTGTTTGAATAAAACAAGTCCATATCAGTCGTTCCTCGAAGATAGCATAATATACGCTTAACTCCATTCTAACGTCTTTTTGTTGGAGAAGAACTATATCTCACTAATAAATTAATTGAAAATGCTATATTTGGTCTTGTATTATTAGCAAGATACATAAGTGCACCAATTGAACTACGATATGATACTTCAGAACCAAGAATTTATTCATTATCTTACTGAGGTCGAAATATTCCTTTCTTCACATCAAGGGAACAAACTTCCATTGGAATGTTCAATGGATGTGTTTTGTCCATATAAAATCTTTTTAAAACTTTTTCTTTATAAGTTGATTGATACACAAATATCTCATCTGCTAAATGTTCAATCTACAAGCCAAGACAAAATTTTGATTTTCCGAGATCCTTCATTTCAAATTCTTTTTTAAGATACTTTATTGCCTTTGAAAGCTTTTCAGGAGTTCCAATTATATTCAAGTCATCAACATATACAATTATAATAACAAATCGTGACTGTGATTTTTTTTTTTTTATAAAAACACACGGAAAAGTTGGATTATTTTGATATCTTTCCTTCAACAAATATCCATTCAAGYGATTATTGTAACACAGTCACCCTGATTGTTTTAATCCATATAATGATCTCTATAACTTTATTGAATACAGTTCTAGAGAACTTTGATTATATGTTTCAGGTACTTTAAATCCTTCAAGGATTTTCATATATATATATCATTATCAAGAGATCCATATAAATATGTTGTGACTACATTCATAAGATGCATGTCAAGACTTTCAAACACAGTCAGGCCAATTTAAAATCTTAGTGTAATCGCATCCATCACTGGAGAATGTGTATCTTCATAATCAATACCAGGTCTTTGTGAAAAACCTTGTGCAACAAGTCTTGCCTTATATCTTGTGACCTCATTGTTTTCATTTCTTTTTCTTACAAATACCCATTTGTATCCCACAGGCTTAACGCCTTCTGGTATTCAGATTACTGGTCCAAAGACTTGACGTTTTGAAAGTGAGTTTAATTCTGCTTAGATTGTTTAGTTCCACTTAAGCCAATCCTTTCTTTGTTGACATTCTTTGATAGATTTTGGTTCAGAATCTTCACTTTCTGATATAATGTCAAGAGCTACATTATAAGCAAAAATGTTGTCAATAACTACATGAGTTCGGTTCCATCTTTTCCCTGTCATGACGTAATTTATTGAAATTTCATTATTATCTTCAGGTATTTGACATTCCTTGGTATTTTCATGAGTATTCATGTTTAGGTTTTCTTATGGAAATATCCATATTCTCAATCGAACCATTTTGATTATTGACTATTTTTCTTTTTCGAGGATTTTTATCTTTAGAACTCATTGGTCTCCCACGCTTCTAGCGTGTCACAGACTTATTAATTACAACTTGTTGTATTGAGATATCAATTTTTCATGGATCATTTGCAGCCGGAATATATGATTTAGTCACTTTCTTAGCTTCTATAAATGCATATGGTAWTTGATTTGCTATATTTTGAAAATGGATTATCTTCTGAACTTCAAGTTCACTTTGATCATTACGGGGATCTAAATGAGACAATAARGATGCATTCCATGTAATTTCTTTTTCCAACTTCTTAATTCCTCCCCCTAATGTTGGAAAATTTGTCTCATTAAAATGACAATCAGCAAATCGAGCAGTTAATTAAATACATCACTTGTCAAGGGCTCAAGATATTTAATGATTGATGGAGAATCAAAACCAACATATATTCTTAATCGCCTTTGAGATCCCATCTTAGTACGTTGTGGTGGAGCAATGAGAACGTATACTGCACATCCAAAAATTTTTAGATGGGAAATATTCGACTCTTGACCATAAGCTAATTGTAATGGAGAATATTTATGATAGGTTGTTGGCCTAATACGTGCAAGTGATGCTGCATGCAAAATAGCATGTCCCAATACAAATGTAGGAAGCTTAGCTCTCATAAGCATTGGTCTAGCAATTAACTGCAATCGTTTTATAAATGATTCGGCTAAACCATTTTATRTATGAACATGAGGTACAAGATGTTCAACATTTATCYCAATTGCCATACAATAATTATTAAATGATTGAGATGTAAATTCACCAGCATTATCAAGAGGAATGCTTTTAATTGTATAATCAGGAAATTGTGCTCGTAACTTAATTATCCGAGCAAGTAATCTTGCAAATACAAAGTTTCGACTTGATAATAAGCATACATGTGACCATCTACTTGATGCATCTATTAACACCATAAAATATCTAAAGGGTCCGCTTGATGGATTAATAGGTCCACATATATCACCATGAATTCATTTTAAAAATGTAGGTGATCCTGTYCCCACTTTAGTTGGTGATGGTCTAATGATTAATTTACCTTGAGAGCAAGCATCACATACAATTAATTTGATTGAAGAATCTTCTGGTTTTTCAGTAGATGTCCATGTGAATTCTTCTCATCATTATCGACCCTGGATTACCCAATCAGTCATGTCAAATAATAAATTATATCTGGATTCATGAACTTCAGGTTCATTGTTGCATATGTTTCAATTACTCGTATATGAATATAATATAATTCAGAAGATAAAGCAGGTAGCTTTTCCAGTATATGTTTGCCATGTGAGACAATAGATATAATATAGAGATACTCTATATTATTCTTGTTATCAGTCTCAATATGATAACCATTGCAAAGTATATCTTTAAAACTCAATAGATTTTTCTTTGATTGAGTWGAGAATAATGCATTGTCAATTGTAAACTTTGTTCCTCTAGGCAAAATAATATCAGCTTATCCAAAACCTTCAATTAAGTTTGCAGAACCTGATATTGTATTGACTTTTGCTTCCAGCTAGGGGTGTACAATGGAATCGAAGAAACTGACAAAACCGAACCAAATTTTTGGTTGGTGGTTTGGCGGTTCGGTTCGATTCAGCAGAAAAGCAGAACCGAAATTATCGGTTCGATTTCGGTTTTCAAAAGCAAAATCGCCATGTTAAATGTTAATATCAATAACATTAAAAAAATAAATAATACAAAGTACAAACCTCAGCTGCACAGCAGTCTGCAGCGGCAGGTTCTGTGGGCTGGCACTTGGCAGTGGCAGTAGTGCACATTGCCCAATAATAGCCAACCCACCTAGCTATTATTATATTTTTTTTTTAGTTTTTCAATTATTTTCACCATTTAAGTTTAAACAAAATTTCAAATTCAAACCACACGAACCCATAAATCCAGAAGCACAGGTCCACAGTAGCAGACCTAGGGCCCAAATCGCAGGAACCGAACCAAACCGTCTGCTGTGTATTTCTGTTCGATTCGGTTTTGAATTTTTTTTTAAAAAGATCGGTTTCAGTTTCGGTTCGACCTCCAAACCAAACCGTGAACACCCCTACTTCCAGCATCGTCAATTTGAAAAAAAAATATTTTCTGTTTTTTAGTATTGTATGCGTAGTTGCACTATCTGCCAAACATAGATCTTCATTGATCATTTTCGAGTCATCCAATATATGAAAACTGTTCATGCTTCTCTAGTAAACAAAATAATTACAATAAGAAGAAGAGAAGAAAAAAAAAAACTTAAAATACAAAAAGTCAAACTTAGTTAACATAAACATGAAAGATAGATGAAAGAAAAAAAACATGAATTCTGAATGCTTTCAAAATCAAATGAAACACTTGTTATTCTATCCGTGCCAATTTGTTCTCCAAGAGTTTTAAGAAAATCTGCTACATCCAAATTTGTTATGTTGGCATGATCAAATATATCACCATCTTGATATGCAAGATTTGCCTCCACATTTTTTCCCTTTTCTTTTAGGGAAGCCTGATAGAGATCCACCAAGTGTTTCGATGTACGACAAATACATGCCCAATGACCAATCATTCTGCATCGAAAATATTTGTGTTGAACATTTCTATAACCTTGATATAGTGGAGCTTTTCATTTATGATCATTATTTCGTGTGATTCTTTTGAAATTTGGATGATTATAACGACCACCACGAAAAGAATGATTATTTCTTCCTCTACCGTGGTCATGTCCACGACCACGGCCTCGACCACCACCACAATTATTAAAATATCTTTGTTGTCTTGATTTGATAGGAAGATAATGCATCCACCTAACGAGAAAGCGCGATTGGGAGAGAGCAGGGGTGTTTGATAGGAAAATTTTTGGGAAAAATGACCATTGGTGAAGTAGATTTAAACATTGTTACCATTTATGAAGAGTATGGGTGTAAAGAACCGAACCGACCCGAGAAACCGAACCGAACTGAATAAGGTCGGGTCAGGTCGGTTTTGGTGATTTTCACTGTCGGTTCGGTTCGGTTTAATCAAATAAAACTGAAATTTTTTGTTTTAACTCCTACACCACCTCCCTCATCTTTCGTACTTCTCTCTCCCCCTCCCTCATCTTTCGTCTTCTCTCCCCCTCCCTCTCTTCCAACAGCTCCATTTTAGTCTCGACCCATGGCCATGGAAGAGGCGACTAGAACAGGCGGTGACGACCTAGGCCAACAACGACCCATTTTTTCTACCTCTCTTTTATTTTTTAACTTCCATAGATTTTCTTTGCTTCTGATTTTTTTCACAACTGGGTTTGTAAAATCTGCTTGTGATAGGGTAGGTTTTTAAGGAAGCTTTTTTTTTTTTTTATCTTTTCAAAATTGCATATTTGAGTGGATTTTCAAAGAAAGTAGTTTTTTTTTTCCAAAATTTGTATATGCAATTTTAACCTTTGATAATATATATATATATGTATATATATATTTTTGGTTCCCTAACTTTCCTCTCATGGGCTAAATTTTACGATGCCCTTTTTTATTAGGTCGATTCCCTAATGTTAGAGTTTAAATTTTTAAAAGTTACTGCTGTAAATATGTGTTATAGTTTCTGAGAGTTATTTTAAATTATTATCTATTGTTTAAAACTTTTCAATTTAATCCCTATATATTAAAATTGATTAATAATAATTTTGTATGACGTAATAATAATAATGAGTGAATTACTATAAAATTTTGATGAGAACAAATATTATAAGAAGGTAAAAACTCAAGATTTTAGGAGAAATTATAAACTTTTCCCATTCACTGCACATTTTATACTCCTCTAAATTTCTCAATTCACCAAATAATGTGCCACATAAATTTACTAATTATTAATAGTGAAAGATTGAAGTGAAAATTTTATAAGTAAAATATTGTATTCTTAAAACATGAAAACTCAAAATTTATACCAATATCSTGYTGCGTAAATTGAAACTTTTTAAACAACATTTTCAACACCATTATTTTATCTAAAATTAAATTATCAAACAACATTTTTTATTAATTTTAAAATACTGTACAAAATACAAATTACAACTCTGGCCGGTCTCCGGTCTTCTCCTTCCTCGTGTCGCATCGCTATGTCTCTTCCCGCCATTTTTCTCTGGCTCTCAGCTCTGCGTGTAAACTTGTTCCTCGAATTTCTTATTTCAACTTGTTTGTAGTACTGATTATTTTCTTGTTTTTCTTTTTGTACTCTTGAATTAGCTCATATAAATTCTACAACGGAAGTGTAATTTCAAGCTGTTGGATCTTGATCCTTGGGACCGCCATTCAAATTCGTGGAATCTCCGGACCCAGCTCTCGAGCAAGGAATAAGCGCATCGATTCACTTGATGATAATTCGAAGAAGTCAGTGGGCGAATTGTTCGATGTAATGTATGAATAAGTTTTTAATTGGGTTTTTGTGTTTTTTTTTCCTTTTGATTTGATGATAATCTGGTAATTAGGTATTATTCGTGCAAATCGTTTCACGAGGAAGGGTGAAATTTTTAGTTTGCGAGACTGACAGTGGCGGGGAAGCTGCAGCAAGTTCTTTGGCCGAGGATTTAGCACCCCGACGTGTGGCGAAAATGGAGTGACGCTACAAAATTCGTAGTGCCACAGCATTAGAGAACAGCGCCGCGGCGCTACGACACTTTCTATAGATTCATCATCTTCGTGTTCGATTATTATTATTATTATTTTTTTTATTTTTTTTTGAAGTGCAGAAGCAAATTTAAGGGAAGCGGCCGGCAGCTTTGAGAAAGAGGAAGAGAAAAAGTGACTGCAGCGTGTTGTAGACAGTCCGTTCTTGTGGGTTTAATAAGGTTTTTATGGTCCTGATTAGCCAATTGTCGGTAGAAGCTAGATAGCYATCGTTGTAGTATTTAGAGAGTACTCTAGTGCGAAAGAGAGTTCCATTTTAATCTTCACATCATAATAGAACTTCAAGATTAGACTTAGTCTCAAGTTTGGAACGAACTGGTAGATGAATTCTGAGCGAGGGCAATTGCATATAACAACAATATCACATACAAATATATATATATATATGACTATTTTTTTAGCATATAACACTTCTATTTCTGAGCAGTCTACCATGTAACTTACTCTCCATCAGCCACTGGATATTTCTATCTATAACCTACTAAATATGTAGCTGCCATTGCCAAGCTTAGCAAGAATCGCGAGCCCGAGCGATCGATGGATTGCCAGACTGCAAGCAATCAATGGGAGGGACAGTGGAAGTTTTCAGCTCGCCATATGCCTTCCAACAGAACGGTTCAGGCGAGCGGCCACTCCCCTCGAGCTGAATGGTGTCCAATGACACACCGGTGCAGGGAAGGCTGTCGCTGCAGGCCAAACGGACTGGCGTTTCAGTGTATGTTCCTCTAATGTTTACATAGTTTACTCCTGAAATTGCTACAGCAGAAGATCCGTTATTGCATCTGCCTCTGTCGCAGTAGTATTGGTCTATCATGATTGGAGTTTGAACGTCCGAAACTTGAATGTTGGAAAACAGTATTCCCTGTACTGAGCCTGAACCACCCTGCAATGGGCAAAATTTATGACCATCAGTTGTAAGGTTAATTTAATCTTGGTTTTGTAAAGGGAGTTTTTGGCAAACAATACAACTGGGAAAATATGTTAAATTAAAGACAAGTTTGTTGAACGGAGCAGGATAAGAAATAGGTTTTTGTGGTATGTCTGTTTCTTTGCTATGAGGAATTTGGGAAACAATAGAATCTTTATAGGGGAGAGATTCAAGGAGTATTACTTCCCGGTGGGGTCTGTTTCTAAGGATTTTTGTCATTATCAGTTAAGCGTTATTCTTTTGGATTAGAGTCTCTTTTCTTGGGGCATTCTTTTATCGTGCTATTTTTTTTTGTCCTGGTATATTTTTTCGTTTCTCTCCTTGAAGGCTCGGTTTCTTATGAAAAATTAAAAGTGGGGCAAGATTACAATCAATGCCTCTGGTTTTACTTGGCATACATTTATTACCAACTTGGAGTTAAAATTAGAGAAGAAAAGTTATATATACCTGCCATGTTTTTATTCTGACACCAGTCATTGTGTTCCGTAGTTTGATGTCGCGAACTGTGACATTGGAAACACATGCTTTTGTTTGATCGCGTCCTAGCCCTCCGATGCTAATTCCGTGGCCTGGTCCACAGTTGATGTTGTGTATGTATATGCCTGAGCTTCCAGTTTGTATGGATATACAATCGTCTCCTGTAGTTTGATTTTCATTTATGTAAGTTTCATGTTCACATCAGATTAGTTTTTAAGGGAATAAGATTCTATTTGGTAGTTGAATCTAAGAGTTTTTATTTTTTTATTTTTTATTTACTAGTGAATATATGTTCGGTTAAATGGTTTTTTCAAACTTGTTTTCACGGATGAGTTGCTTTCCCAAAATGAAGTTGATCTTCCTTCAAAAGTGAAAGCTAATACCATAGAGCGTATTCTTTTTTGTTGGGTCCCCAATAGTGTGCTTTGCAAAAATGCTTTTGAGGGCCTCAACCGTATCCTATGGAGTTGCCAGTTTGTTCAATCTGTCTGGGGCTAGTTCCCGAAAGTTTTTGGGGTGTCATTGGCTTGTAATAGGGACCGTAGGATGATGGTGGAGGAGGTTGTGCTTGGCCTCTTTTCAGGATAGAGGATGCATTGTAGCAGACTTGTTTTTTGCTATTTTGTGGGATATTTGGACTGAGATGAATAGTAGAATTTTTAGGGAGTGGGGAGGTCTCGGGAGAAGTTTGAGATTTGGTTAGATTTAATACCTCTGTATGGGTGTCGGTTTCTAAGACTTTTTGTGCGTCATTATTTTGGACTAGAATCGCTTCTTATAGGGGATCCCATTTTGGTGGACTTGTTTTTTTTATGCTACTTGTATATACTTCCATTTTCTATGAAAGCTTGGTTTCTGAATTCTAAACAATTGCTTATATTAAGTTGGAATACTTTTCAAAAGTTAGACTCTCATATGCTAAAGAAAGCTATTTTTGCAGTTAGTGCTCAAAATTGAGGATTACCACAAGCTAGATTGCTGTTTGAGATGATCACGTTCTGAGAGTTCTGCAAGTGAATTCCATCTGTGTTCGGGCTGTCACCGGGCGATGAAACGGTTAGGGAAAAGACCTGAACCGATGTGCAACCATCAAATTTCAGGTGAGTCTGTTGGCTATTTTGAATGGTTATTCCAGTGACTGTCACTCCATCACTTCCATAGAACCTAAGTGCCTGCACAAAAATATCAGAGTATTTACAAACAGATAACTTTGACCCATTTTTTCTACTATTCTCAAGTTTAAGCCAAGACTGTACTGTTGGTTTGGTGCTTGGAAGTTTTCCGCTACTGCTTTGCTCGTCCTGCATGAGATTAAAGCCATCTATAAGATTAAATTTACTGTAACCTATCAATTTTAAACTTTTGGGTTGATTGGTGATTTAACAGTGATTAGATAGCTGTTTGACTTTAAATAAACATTTTACTTAGTTTCTATTTGGTCAGTGAGTCTAAAACACCATCACTTTCGGTCTTTCGAATAAATTTAGTTTCTATTTTGTGCTTAAGTTCAATTGTGACAGGTTTGATCTCTGTAGTTTGAATTTAATATTTAATTGGTCCATGAGGTTTGATTTTRGTTTCTAATTGGTTAATGAGTGCAGTTACCGTTAGTTGACCTAATAGAATGATGATGTGGTAGTTATCTTATGATGAATAGACAACGAGAGATCTCAAGGACCAATTATGCGGTTAGCTACCACATCGTCATTCCGTTATGTCAACTAAAGATAAACTCAACTCAAGAACCAATTAGAAACCAAATTCAAACCTTAGGGACCAAGTAAAATCTAAATTCAAACTTCAGGGACCAAACGTGTCACTTTTAGAACTTCAAGGTCCGAATGGAAACAAAATTTAAAAATTAGTTACTAAATAGAAACTAAGTCCAAACTTAGGGATCAAAAGTGTATTTGACTCTTTAAGAAATTACCAAATTTTCATTTGTAGGATTGTATATCGGTGAGTCGTTCCACCAAGCCGAGCCTTGTCCATCAATAGTTCCTGAACCCTTCACTGTAATCCCTTTAAGTTTAGTGAACTCAATCCACTGTAAGAGACCTGAACCCCAAGCACTTGAGCTTGTTGGAGCAATGATTTTGCCATCCAACTGCATGTCAACATAGGAGATGTGCTTAAAAATATGTTATCAAGAAATTTTTTATCTGCAAACAAAGGAGCTTTTTTGGAAAGTTCTTTGTAGAATTTTTTTTTTTTTTTTGTATCAGAATCCTTTTAAATATTATAGCCCRTTTGTTAATTATTCTATTTTAGCTTTTAAACACTATTTTCATCTATGTATTTCTTTGTTTTGCATCTACTTTTTAAAAATATTTTCAAAATCTAAGCTAAAATTTGAAAACTAAAAAAGTAGCCTCCAAAAGTGTTTATTTATTTTTAATTTGCCTAAGAGTTCAAATATGTTTCTAAAAAAAATGTTAAAGCATACCAAAGAAACCGTGAGTTAACAAGCTTAATGTTAAAAAAACAGATAATAAAAAACAAATTTGCCTCAATGAAAAAGTTCGGTTTCTTATCAAAAAAACAACAAAATGGTTATAAAATGGGGYCGGTCTTATTTTGCACTTAAGCAGTTATTGATTTTGACCTGAAATACAATGTTCGGTTGGCAATTAGGACCCGAGAACGAGATGGGGCCAACGAGGAATTCGGAGCCAGCGGGAACCTCCACAGTTGATCCCTCTGCATTGCAAGCTGCTTCCCAAGCTGCCTGAAATGCCTGGTATGCATACATTGTCAAGAACTTCTGTGAGATTTCATTTCTGTAAAGTAWAAATGCTTGTGCAACTTATATGTAATGAAAATTATAGGCTACATATGTGCAAGTCTTTGTGTAATATCTTTTAAAATTCTCAATTTCACTTGTGAAAAATTCTCAATTAAATCATTCCATAAAATAATTGTTAACAAAAAGTTGATGGATCTTTAATATATTTGAACACATGAACATACCATTTAGGTTCGACTTGACACACAAAACACAATCGCCTATTAACAAAATCTAAATCTAGTGGCATTGCTACCTGTTCAAATATGTTAATAAAACAAATAATTTATTAGCACATCAACCTTTTATTAACAAATTTGAATTGATTTTTCTATAGAAAGACATAATTAAGAAATTTTAATACATTAAAGATAAAATCGAAAATTTTAAAAGATCAAGAGCCAAATTGAGAATCACGTCGTGGAAAATGATAGAAAATGATAAAGTAAATGTCAACCTAAATTCACCTTGGTGTCATCTGCCCTTCCATCACCCTTAGCTCCAAAGTCCAACACATTAAAGTTGGAAGAACCACCTTTACTTGCTGGTGAGACTCCCACAATATTCTCACTTCCGACACGGCCACCGCTTGTGGACCTCGACGGGCCGCTACCTCCATGGTGGCGATGAACGTGGCGGTGGCRGCCAGAAAAACCAGTGTCATCTCTAACTTTCTTCTCAATCTCTCTACCTGACCCAGTTTTTGTGTGTGTCAAATGCCTGCCTTCTCTTGCATGGCAATTTTGCAAACTAAAACACCAAACGAAAACACAAATGAAAGCAACAGATGTAAGACATTTCAAATTCTTCCCACCCATCTCCATTTCAATTAGGTAGAGAGAGAAAGAAAGAGAGATATAGAGAGAGAGAATTTTGGGAATATGATTGAGAAGCAGAGAAGATGATTGGCTTGTATTTATAGGTTGAAAACTAGTTCTATATGGATGTATACTATACACACATGAGCTCCACAGTTGAAAAGACAACTTGGGTTATGACAAAACTCCCTTTWCAACTTCTTGCTCTTCTGGTTTATTACATGTCTGACATAATTTTCTTTTTCCATCAGCTGTTCCACTTTTTATTCTCTTTCTTTTAACCAAATGCGAAGTATATGGCAAGAAAAAGATAGAATCTCATGGACTGAGATCAAAGCACAAATGGAACAATTAGACCTACCAAAAAGCGTCAGGAACACTRACAAGAAAGTCAACAAATATCTAAAGGATACAAACAGAAAAGAAACATTATATGTCTCATAAACGATACACGATATAACAGATCAGTTATAAAAATAAGTCTCAARCAGACTCTATCGATGGTCGAGAACTAGAATGAATGCTATCACGCCAAGTAGTAGCATGAGCAACTATGGTAGAGACAACAACAAAAGCACTGGTCTCCATTAATGACCCTTAGATATATAGGAAGCAACATAGGTGGTAGAAACTTAACATTAGGTACCAATTTGAAGAGCATTCGTTTTACATCTCCTTATAGGTCGAGAGCTACTAGTTCAAGAGGTACCACATAAGCACTAGCCATTCCAACTTGATATGGGCCCCTACTTTCCACAACCAACTCATCATTTCACAAACATAAACATCACTTTGAACAAAATGTAAAAAGAAAAATCAGGACTATGCAAGAAACAGCATGAATTCTAAAATTACATTATGTCCAAATACGAGAAATATCTTCAATAACAATTCTCCAACTTGATGTCGTGGAACATCATCCAAAATTTTTTTATCTTTTCTCTCTCCTTTGGATTAATTGAATTCGGCGGCCGCCTTCTTCCTTAAAAAAACAAAGCTAAGATTTGTGGGAATAACATGCCAGCAGAGGAAACAAACTGTAGACACACCATTAAGGACATTGATACACTACAAATCAATAGAGCCAAATCAAATGGAAAGTTATTCTATTTGAACCATCTGATGAACTCCTGATAATTGTGGATTGCTGATTGGCTGCACGTGAATGGCAGCCTTTTTCTTTCTTTCTTCTCTTTGAAGTTAGTAATTTTGCTGTATCAAAACAAACAAAATAGTTGTTTATCCATCTGAAAAATCTTCGTATTTCCTTCTTTATTTTACTCAGCCCTAACCCTTAATACAATCAAACAATACAGTTGGCCAAATAAGAAATATCAACACATAGTAAAGTAAAAATGTGTTAATATGGTAACAAGAAGGATTATTTGTGAGATTTTGACTAATCCATAGAAGATCAAATTGAAACTTTAAAACTACACCAACCAAATTGAAATAAAGAGCAAATTATGGAGACTAAATTGAAATTATGCCTTGATCTTAGGTTCAAATTTTTTTTTTCCGAGTACATCTCCGTAGCAAATTTGTTACTTAAACTTAAATAATATTAGTAGATTAGTTTTCTTTTCAAATAGTTTGGTGCTAAAGCATGACGTTATGAGTTCATTATAGGTTCAAATTTCTAATTTTCACATCAATAGACTATGCGGTAGGCTTTGTGAGTCAAAGTTAATAATGTTCAAGCTGCATGTGAGGGAAGAATTAAATCATTTTAAAGTCAAATTTATCATGATTATACTAACATTTATTTCTAGATCTATCCTCGTCGATAATTGTCAAAAAAACGATTGATCTAGTTTAGACGAGCAACATCTTGCTTATTCCAATATACTAACCAAAGTTTCATGTTTGGTGTCTCGTAATAAGCAAGATGTTGATCCACGAGGATAAATGTTAGTTATTAGTATAGCTCAATTAGTCACAATATATGTTTGATTTTTTTTGACAAAATAAACGCTGTAATTAAATATAATTAGATTATATTGCAAGAATTGTGAATTAAAGTTTTCGAAAATCTTTTGTTATAAAATTTAAAATTTCAAAAGTAGGTTAAATTATTATTTTGGTTCAAATACTTTCGACTTTAGTTCACTATGATCTTTGTAATTTTAAAATGTTCATTTTTGGCCTTATACTTCCAACTTTAGTTCATTAGTTTATTTTAGTTCTTGTATTTTCAAAATGTTACTTTCGTACTTATAAAAAGCGACCATTTTGATTCATATTTGCAAAATTTTAATACAAATTTTATTCCTAACAAAAACCCTTTAATATAAAGTCTTGGTTACATTTTAAGAAATATATTAAATATAGTATCTTGTTGAAATTATAGTAGAAAAAATGAGATTAAAAATAAAATTAAGTTACTAAAATAGTTGTTTTGTCAAGTACAAGAACTAAATAAATATTTTGAAAGTACAAATATCAAAACAAAACGGTATTTTAAGCTAAAAAGAGAAAAAAAAATAGAGATGAATGAAAACTTTGTCACTTATAATTTAAATAATTAAAAATAATGTGCATGGACATAATTAGGCAAACTTAGCTGTTGAAAATAATTAATTAGGGCAATCTTGGAATTAATTATAGTTAGAAACTGATAATTTTAAAACAAGATTTGCAAGTAAATGATATCATTAGACAGCTCGCTTTTATCATTAATGCAGATTTTGATTGACACGTGTGCGTGTGTATAGTACAATTATAGGGTATAGACTTTGTAATATATTTATATTGGTTGAAATTCGAAGCATTATTTTAATTGATGATTTTTTTTTTCTCTAGGACGAAGGAGAGAGAAATTCTTGCTTGGGTTGTTTATGCTCATTATATTAATATTTACCCCTAAGATTATTTAATATATGTTAAATATAAATTGTGTTCATAGATTATGGTGGTTGTGTCTATCTTGTCTTTCAACTTTATTTTATAATATTTAATGACTCATTTGAATTTTTTATTTTGATTCTAATAAATTTTTATCATTAATAATGTTAAGTTAAATTAACAAATGATCTTTAAACCAGTAGGATAAAATAAGGTGATTGTTGTACGTTGGAATTTATTTTCATAAGTGAGTTATTATTATTATTATTATTATTCTTTCTTTTCGATTCTATTGCATGTTGTGTTTCTTATGCAACTTTTTTTAAGGCCTTTTTGTTCTCCTTGGTAACTTGGGTGTGACAGATCCATTTTTTTCCTTCTAATATATATTACTTCTGAAAATAATAATATAAATAAATAACAACTATTAAAATTTTGATGGCCAAACTAGTGGAATACATTTTAAACCTTTTTTTCATGCAATTTCAAATGTTTTCTTCAATTAATAATAAAAAAAATGTTTTCTTCAATTAAATTGTCATTGTATAACCTAATTAAATTGATATAACTTTAGCATTCCCCGTCATCTAATTTGTCTCTAATAGTTAATTAAAAAGTGATGGTATGTGACTAACGTGAGTACAGCTCCATTAAAAGTTCAAATCTCCACAGTACTGTCAATCTAAACATGATTAAGTTGATAAAACACTCCGGCCCCGTTTATTTACAAGGAATCAAAATAAGAATATTATTCTTTTGATGTTGTTCATAAAAAATTTTCTAAAATCTAAACAAAAAATCTTTTGATGTAGTTTACTAAAATAGTTTGGAATAGAATAAGAATAAGATATATGACAATTAGTAGTATACCTCTTTGTTATTTCTAGCTAATTACAAATAAATTATTGTGATACTTTTTAATTAAAATAATAATAAATTTTAATTTATTTTATTACTATTTCATTGATAATAAATGTCAACTAAAGTAATTTTTTATTTAAACAGCCATCGTTTGATATAAAATTTTCTTAAATTTTATTGTTCTAATATTTAATAATAATAAATTCTATTTTAAAAAATTTATTAGTATTAATTAATAATAAAAAGTAAAATTTTAAAAAAATTTAAAAATTAAACAGAAATTTGTAATATTTTATAATAAAATCACATCAACTAATAAAAGTTGTATGCATTTTTATTAGAATAAAAACTATTAGTAGTACGAAAAATAATAAATTGTAAAACAATTAATTAAAAAGTTATGATCTCGCTAACAGGAGAGAGAGTAAAATTATAAAGTAATTATTATAAAGATGTACGGCCTAGAAATAAGAAATTAAAATGAATTGACAAGGTTGCAAGAGAATAATGGGATTACATTTTCAGAGGAATTGATTACAAAGTTTGAAATGGATCCACGAGTTGATTTAGATCTTTATGGCTAATCCTSGTTTAATAATTTTTAATTAAAAAAATTCATCCCATGTTTGTCGTAATAACAAAAAAAAGTGATGTCATGGGAGATAAAGCTGCGGAAAAAGAGGTAATGGTCGGTGGGGGACAAATTTAAGCTTCAATCTTCTTATTAATTATCTTTGATTGTCCCTCTGCCTCCATTCCTCTTTAGTCTTTCCACAACTCTTTTTTTTTTCCTCTTTTTGAAGGAAGACTTTTGGTAATAAATATAATGATGAAGAGAGAAAAAAGATAGTGAGAAAAGGGAGAAGAAAGCCAAGGATCTAGAAAAGATGAGAAAAATATATTTTTAGTTGAGGTTTAGAATAGATGTTTATTTTATCTTTGAAATTTYAAAATGAACATTTTTATCCCTGAAGCTTGAAGTGGGTGTAGGTTTAGTCTCTAAAGTTTTAAGATAGACATTTTTGTTTTATAAAGTGTGAGAAATAGTTTTAAATRGTCCCRAATAGCTCTTTTGACCATTAATTGTGTTAAAATGACATGGCGCTGACTTGGCAAAGTATTAATTTAACAATATATTTGTGGGTTATATTTTCCTCCTCTCTTTCTAAATCTTCCTCTCWCATCTTTAGCGAACGTCGTTGACGCTGTTGCYGCMTGTTTCTATCCTCATCTACTACTTGCTGTTGCACCGTTATCCTCGTCGAAGTTGTTCTAGTCACACTCTCATACTTCTTTATGAAATATTTGTCCAATTTTCCGTTCGTGTTCGTATTTTCACTTTCAAGCTATGCAAGTGGTTATGACTCGAATTTGTATGGCTATTTTTTTCATAACTTTCTTGGAAATATTTGTCGAATTGCTTCAATTTTTAGGTTTTTCTGTTCGGATTTCTCCTTTCGAAACTTTGTAAATAGTTTG